AACTGGAACCTGAGGATGGTTTGAGAAGGTGTTGGTTACGAAGTTTCATGCTCTTAATACGGATCGTGTCAGCTTTGTATATGATCTTTATGAAGTTTTAAACGTTGATATAAAGAATTTTGTTAAAATGCTTTTACGCAAAAAGAACCTTGATTATTGCTAAAGCCATACCTTGAATCCCATGAGCCTGCATTCCTACGTTCTTTTAAATTCTTGTTTCGGTTAAGTCTTGTTGAGTACTTTTGTACTCAGGGTTCGTTGACCCTTGTTGCAGGTGAGGCTCATGAGCAGATCTGTTTTGGATCGTGCTACATGATTGTTGTTCCGTGCGATGACGATAATTAAATGTGTGGTCCTTGGGCAGGGCAGCTTATGTTGTGTGTTTTGTAATATATTATAATGCCACTCCACTACTTTGGTTTGTTTTATTATCGAACTTAGTTGCATGGTTTGAAACAAATGGTTTGTAAACTATGTTATTGTAAGACTTCCGCTATTTTTACTCTGATGTATCTATTTGAATAAACTGTTGTAATACTGCAATGGCTCTGTAATGTGATCTTGCTCGGAAATAGTGGATGATTCGGGGTTCCCTAAGAACACCCGACAGTCTTCTTAAGTTACCGGGAACATATGCATAGATGTCAAAGGTCGTTGGACAGTGACAGGTGCATGTGGGCCCTATAGTTTAGGAGGTTCAGCCACAACTGATGTGTCCCTAGCAGGGTGCACTGAGGGCGTGCGCTAGCTGGTGTTGAGCTCACGTCACCAAGACAATGAGCTCTCCGCCTGCTATGCTGCCGCGCGCTCAAGCAACGTGCGAATTTCACGGTGGACCTGACGATCCTCGGGTGTCGCGGCCTCTGGAAGGCCATGAAGCAAGGCCGTGTCGGCGGCAATGTTCTAGCTTGCCCGAACGAAGTGAGGAAGGGTTTCACCATCGGCGATGATCCTTCAGTTCACGTCACAGGCCAGGGTGCATGCATGCCCACCATCTCCGCAGTGTTTGATCTCCTGATCGACCTCCACGTACTCCCGAACAAGCTATTATCTGGCTTCGTCTATTTCCTGCTTTCGGGCTCTCAGCTGCTCCACCCCTACATGAGGTGGGGCCGCTATCCCCCTTTCAGTTCCACCACCGAGGTTGCCTGCCAGGGTAGTCTCCTCTGCGGAGACGCTTTCGACGTGTCCCTCGGGGGTTTTCGCCATGAAGCATTCCCAGGAGGGATGATGGCTCCCCCTGCCGGAGTTAGAGCCAGAGTCCGACCTCGGACCTTCTGCAAGGAGGTCATGGAGGGATTCTGTGATGCTTTCGATCATCCCCACGAACTCGTTGTTTACGGGGGACGGGATCATGTGTTGTGCCACAAGGTGGCTAACGGTCGTCGCAGCGTTGCAGAGACCGAACAGAAACATCGTCGGGGTGCTCCGTATGGAGTGTTTCGGAGACAGGGTGAGGTGGCATGGGTCCTCCCTGGATGGCTGGGGTCTGAGGGAGACGTCGGGATGGCGCTCAAGCCTCCCATAGCCAGAGTCAATGGAGGGGAGAGACTAGATGGCGAGATGGGCCAACGCCAACTCTCCTCCCACTGTGACGATGAAGTCCAGGTCACCGAAATGCACATGTGCGCTCGGGACCCAGCTGATTGCGTGGTTAGCCATCTGAGTCCTGGTTTGGAACGCGCAAAGGCCCCAACCTGGCGCGCTAACTGTTGGTGTTTCGAACAAACATCGGCTAGTGAATTTATAATTGTTGCGCGTTAGGCCCGGATGGTGTACTAAAGGACACAAGGTTTATACTGGTTTGGGTAGAATGTCCCTATGTCCAGTCTGTTGCTGCTTGTGTTATTAGTATCAAAAATCGTTCATAGTAGGGGGTACAAACGGTCGAGAGAGGGACAGGTCCCAAGTCTCTGATGGAAAGGTCGAAAGGATGCCAAGAGCTCGGTCGCTGCTTGGTTGTGTGTTGTGTGTCGAGAACGATTGATCAAAAGTTGGTCCCCTTAGTGGGGTGCCCTGCCCTCCCTTTTATAAACAAGGGGGAGCAGGGGTTACACATGGGAGAAAGAGGAAAAAACCAAAGGTAGAGAAGGTCCTTCGGGGGAGACAGGTCTTCCTTCTCCCGTGTGCCTGCCCTGCTAACATGGTAGACCGTGTCAAGGGTGGTGTGTTCGCTAATCCTTATAGGGCCATGCCCTGGCTTCTGTCAGCAAGTGGGTGCATCCCATCCTATGCCGGTGGATGGTGCGGCGTGTTAGAGGGCCAAGCCATGACCCTTCGGGGAGTAGACGAGGAAGTGACCCTGCGTCCGTCACTGTAGGTGATGTGAATTCTGTCTTGGATCATAGTGGTTGTCACATGCTTGTGTTAGTATCCACGTCCGAGGGCTGATGGCGGCGCCTACAACACTGTGGGACAAAAGTCGGCACCTACAACACTGTTCGGGCACTGTTAGGTTGGAAAGGGCTTAAAGCGCCCGTCCCATCGTATCCTAGTGGTGCCTTCCTGCAGGAGTACAGGGCATGGCCCTCGATACTGCGGTTGACTTGAATGTCCTGTCATACCCTGTGCTCGTCTTTATGAAGGATCAGGGTGCAGTCGTTGGCGAGGCAGAGCTAGCTCTTAGTCGTCGGGCGAGGCGGAGCCCGCCCTCAGGCGTCGGGCGAGGCGGAGCCCGCCCTCGGGCGTCGGGCGAGACGGAGTCTAGCCCTTAGCCATCGGGCGAGGCGGAGCCCGCCCTTAGCCCTCGGGGGTCGGGCGAGGAGGAGTCTAGCCCTGAGCCGTCGGGCGAGGCAGAGCCAGCCCTCAGACGTCGGGCGAGACAGAGCCCGCACTTAGCCATCGGGCGAGGCAGAGCCTAGCCCTCGGAGGCTGGGCGAGGCAGAGCCCGCCCCCGGACGTCGGGCGAGGCGGAGCCAGCCCTTAGCCATCGGGTGAGGCGAAGCCTAGCCCTCGGTGGTCGGGCGAGGCGGAACCAATCTTCCGTCGTTCGGGCAAGAAGCATAGTAGCATTCTTGTCTGACCGGAAGTGTTAACGTTCGATGGTTATTAGTTCCACCTCATCGGGTACCCCGGTATTAGGTCCCCGACAATAATGCATTCTAGCATTTAGACATTGTCCTCAAATATAATGCATTCTAGAGGACATAAACCAGTTTTGCATTAAATACTTTCCATTTATCAACCAATCAATATTAATCACGTTGATGATATTGTCTGATTAGGAAATAAAATGAGGGTACATGTGTCTTTTATGTTCTCTCTTAATTTGTCTTAAAATTGTTAGAATGCAATGTATAAGGAGTATATAAGATGGGGCAGGGGTCCCCTAGTCGACATCCTAGATATCTCAATACAATCTATCAGAACACAGGATGTAGGGTATTACATCATATTGATGGCCTAAACCTGTCTAAATCTTATGTCTTGGTGCTTGTATTACCATCTAGTTCTTGATCACGTGCACCTCTACCACACAATCTACCATCATGGGTATACCCCTTGGTGGACTACAGATAGTATTTCATCGACAGTGGCGCGCCAGGTAGGGGTCTGCATGCTGATCCCATGGCGAACCAGATGGGCCTCAAATCAACAACATCCATGATGATTCGGCATCACAAGGCGAGTTGTCATATTGATCATCAAACACCAAAATCTAAACTAAATAGGTCGATGGTCCATTTTTCTTACAATGCATTGCATCATTTGCATTGCACTTGAAAGTATATTTATATTTCTACGGAATAATTGTTGTATCTATTATTATCCTATTTAAATTTGATGCTTAATCATACTGTGATTAAAATAACTTGGTTGAAGCAGTTTGCTTGCTGAGGTTTTTCATAAACCTCGTACACTTGTTCCTCCATTTTAGTTACATGAGCTTCAAGGATGATTGGTGGGATGGGAGTAGCCGCACGAGTGCACACGTGTTGACATATACTTCAAACAAATATATTGTTGAAACAAATTCGTGGTTGTCCGAGTCTTTTCTCATATTATAATAAACACCTAAGTGCACACATGAGCTTCATCGTAGAAGACTTAATTTATTGTTCAACTTAGATGACGTTTGTTGCTTCCGCGTTCTCTGCACCATAGGGAAACGATAAGGCATTCTTCAACATTCTGTTCAAAGGTTTCAATTAGATCGACTGTAGGTCGTGACAAGTCCTCCCCTCCTTAGAAAAAATGCACTTGAGCATCCAACCCGAGAGCAGCCAGTTCGTGGCAAAGATTTCGTTAGAATTGGTAGAATGTTCCGCGCTGAACACTTGGGAAGACTACCCAAGTTGAGCTTGGTCCTTAGTCACATTGAACAATTTAAGTCTTCACCCTTGCAAGTTTTAGATAAATAATTATCCTAGTGTGGCTTCTACACGCGCGAGTCACGTTTTCTGATGACAAGTTACTGCTATTGCGAAGTGTGGTAATGATTTAGAACACCGTTCTGGGGTGTTACACCTAAAATCCCTAGAAACCCTATTTTAGGGGGGCCATTGCTAGAATTAGCTCTAACACTATAGTAAGTTAGTACCAGCCAGTGCTGTCCACATTAGATTTATGATTTGCAGTTTCTTAGAATGAAACCGAGATTAACTCAGCAGGACGCAGCTAGCAGAGCAACAGACAAATTTGAGCAGGTCGATAAATTATTACAGCACAAATACAGCTGATGTATATAGTAACTAAATATACAAGATTGGGCTTTCCTACTGTGCACACTACCCTTGGTACAACACGGCATCTACAGCCTTGTCCAGAGAAAAAAAAAAACACCAGCAGCTATATCACCTCCTCTCCCCACATCAATAGTAAACTTATCCCCCGCAATAGAACCCACCCAGATTCTGATGCAGAAGCATCTGTATCTCAACCTGGTTGCAAATCACAAGCAACTAGCCCAATATGCCGTCAATAAGACAAACATAAGCCACAAGAACCTCCGGGCTGTGTCCAGCCAGTGGTCAAAATATTACATAGTGTACATGTGAAGCTTAATGTTCCATTAATGCTGCATCGGTCTCTGACAATGGTGCTGAAAAGCAAGCAACAAGTTTGATCAGTTTGGAAACATTTTTCTTATTAGAGACACAATGGGTTCCTAGAAACATTATCCATAATCATCTCTAATGATGAAACTGAAATATAGGGCATGGCTGTTGAGGACTAACGAAATTTAACATCATGAAAGCTTATAGAAGTGCATGCATACCACATCCGCATAATTACTTCCCAAAATAAAATCCATTGAGTTTAAGACTTACCAAGTAGGTCCTCGTCTGCATCATGGAACAACGAAGATTCCATCAATAGAGGAGGGGAGAATACTTGATCCTGGGCGTCATCAGTGATAAAGGACTGATGTGCCAGACCACCAGCCGGGTCAAGAAAACTCATGGCACTGATCGAATCATGTCCATTCAGTTCACTTAACAGAACTGGACTTGTGTTTATTGGGCTATCCGCATTGTAGTAAATGCCACTTGTGCTCTTTGCGAACTTCATCTGTGGCAACAAGCCTAATCTCTGGTTATGTCCATTTGTCACTGAATCCATATCCTTCTTTGCAGCACCAGATGACAACGGAATAAAGAAGTGCTCTGAACCATCATCACTATTTTTATCTTGTGGCCTCTCTGCATTCCTCAATGGCTTTGATAAAGCAGCTTCACGAATAGACCGTCTAATGTCATGAGCAGAATAGTCATCATTTTCTGCGAAGACCATATTGACCAAAACAATTCAACGATGCTATTCATGAAAACACTTCACTTTCTATTTCTATAGGAAGAAAACAAAAGGGCAGAGAGTGTAAGGATAAAATGGAAAAGCTGAAGAGTTAAGATAGAAATACCACGCATTGAACCATTCATTTGATCTTTAGTTGAAGGGATGGTAAGTGTTTTCTCTTCTGATGTGATCTCATGGCTAGGTTGACGAGCCAGCGCATTCCGTTTTTGTGTCTGTGTTCCTTTTCCAGAAGAACTTGGAGTCAGACTAAATAATGGTGGTAGCTTTAGAGCAGGACTGCCCCCAGGCTTGTCCAAGTGTGTAGAAGAGAGCTTAGAACTGATCTCCGAAACTTCACTGCTTCTTTCCTGCATAAATGTGGGTGGTCAGAAAGCCATAGAATAAATGTGCATGCCTGATATAGCAATATTTTATGCTTGATAAATGTTTACAATATAGAAATCTGATACTGCTTCACACAAAAAAGGTATTGTTCAGCCATAGCTGCTATATGTCGATACCCTTCTTCAACAGTGGGTAAATCATCATAAAACAAAACAGCCTATTAGTTAAAACTTTCTATTCTTACTTCCGATCTTCCAAGCCCTGCGCTTTGTACTGACAGTGGTAGCCTCGAGTTCAATTGATCCATTGAGTTAATAGATACACTATTCACTTCTTCTGAGAGTTCATCAATAGACTGCTGCATTGCCGGAATAGCCTCCTTGAGTTGATTAATTAGACCCTAGACAAAGGAAACAACAGCCACATATTAAAATTAGAAACCAATCAAATACTGTTGAACCATTCACCAGTAAAATCCAAAAACCTAGTGGTTACTGATAATGATAGAATTGTCGCTATTATTTAAGCTGTGTGGGAGGTAGGAGTGGGAGACAGGGAGACAGGTAGGAGTGGGAGACAGGGAGACGGGGCTTCAGTCAGACCCGAGGGAGGGGAAGCACCGCAACAAATCTGTTGCTCTGCTTAATTTCCTCCCATCAATAGTTCCAAACATTTATCCCCTCCTAACCAGTGTTCCACAAGGCGCTATTAGGCGCTCACCTAGGTGCACTTAAGCGCTAGGCAAAGGGGCACCGCCTCGGCTAAGGGGCTAGGCAGAGGATAGGCGGTGTGGCCCCAGATCCAGAGCCGCGCTGCATGAGGGAGGACAGCAGGTGGCGGCAGAGGCAGGTGCGGCCGGGAGGAGGCTAGAGGCAGGCGCGGCTGGGAGGAGGCTAGCCGCAGGCGTGGCCAAGAGGAGGCAGGTGACATGGGGAGGCCAGGAGGGTGGGCAGAGGCAGCGGAGGGCAAGCAGAGGCATCGACGACAGGCGCGGTCGGGAGGAGGCAGGGGTGGCGGGTGACGAGCACAACCGGAAGGAGGCAGAGGCGATGGGCACAAGCAAAGGAATGCGGCTGGAACTAGGACAGAGGAGGCAGATGGATGAGGTTGGACTGGGTAAGGTGGGCAAGACTCTTAGACCGGCCTTTCTGTCTAATCTAAGCCCACTGTTCTGCTGTTTATTCTTTTATTTTAGATGTAACATATGTATGTGTACAAAACGCATAGAAAAACGCCTTAAAACGCCTAGGCTTGCGTAGGCTTGCTTATGCTCTAGGTGGTGGGTCACTGCCTAGGGAGCGCCCAGTGCCTAATGTAACCTTGCTCCTCACAAACCAATCTATGATCCAATATCCTATCTGTGGGAAAATAAATGGAAAATAAACTAATACAATATCTCATTGAGCCCGTGGCCTCCTGCTGGGCCAGCATGCATCTAGCCACGTGGGCACTTCCGGCATTCATACGTGACCAGTCATAACAGATAAACTGACAAGTTTTAAAATTGCATGGAGGTTGTTACCTGTATACTGACTAAATGCTGGCGATGTTCAGCTAATGTCGCAGTTAACGAATCAGAATGAGTACTGGCCTCTCCGTCGGATGCACTCCTCAGTAATTCAGGCCCCTCTCCATCATTCGCTTTGGCCTATCAAATTAGTAGAAAGCTGAATAATATGTAGTTTGGTTCAAAGAAGAATGCGCAGATGTACCAGGAAGTCACAACATTAGCATATGATGCATATCGAATGCAATACAGTGCTTATATGCATCTGATGTATTGGGGGAGCATATGCAGGAATACCTTGTTATAATGCAATAAGGCTCAGCTGAGCAGCCTTACACATCCCCATTTCTTTAGTCTATAAAATTTACATTGCATTTCATAATGTGTTATGTTGGTTTTATGGTCTATCGAGCATTTAGCCATTTTACTAACTGTATTAATTGTACTACAATAAATTCATATATGAATCATAGCTCATATGCTTATGCAAGATATACGAAACTAACTAGCTACATATACTGTTATTACAATTTCATTGTACATTATAATTACACCCCTGATATTGTTCAATATATTTTGCTCTAGTCCAAATAGAGTGAATAATTTCTGTCTGTTCAACTTGTGTCACTATCCGCTCTGAACCCAAAATAAAAATATTAAACAGGATGCAGGATGAAGAAATGCATCTGAGAAAAAAAATATAGGATAGAATATTGGATGAATCTTTTGTGTCCAGTAATACCCCTAAGCCACCATGCGCATATCGTAACTCCATTAATTAATACTTCCTCCATCAAAATTATAAGTCATTTCAACTTTCTTGGAGAGTCAAAGCATCTCAAGTTTGACCAAAATTATACAGAGAATTACAAAGATTTATGACATCAAATAGGTATACTATGAAGATATTATTAATGAAGAATCTAATGATACTTAGTTGGTATCATAAATGTTATTGTTTTATTATATAAATTTGGTCAAACTTGAGATGCTTTGACTCTCCAAGAAAGTTGGAATGACTTATAAGTTGGGATGGAGGGAGTAGAATTTTATGGTGTAATAGTCCTGAGACAATGTGTAACATATACATTTAGATTGAATACCTCTAGCAGTTTGGATGCCAAAGAAAAAGAACATTCAAGTAGTAAAAATGGGGTTAAACCGTTGAAGTATTGTCAACACTACAGATGACATCTACCATAAGTTGTCAGTTTATTAAGCGTGTATTTGGTTCGGGGATGTGGTGGGATGAGATGGATCCAACCCCGTTTTTAGGGATAGAACCATCCCTGTCTGCTGTTTGGTTGAGGGGATAGGACGGTTCCTGGGTTGGATGGGGTATTTGCCACCGTTGCTCACTGTTGTATTGAGAAAACACAAATTTTCCTCCGAGACTGAGCGGCATAGCCACCGTCACGCCCCTGCCACCGAGAATTCCTTCCCCACGCACCGCACGAGCACCTTCCTCACGCGCTGCGCCAACCGAAGCCCCTTCCCCACACACTACGCCGCCTGGAGCCCCTTCCCCACGCGCCGCACCACTCGGAACTCCACTGCGCCGTGCCGCCAGGATGAGGCCGCCACATGCTCGAGCAAAGGGAAGACAAGGATGTGGCAAGCTCGGCCCTCTCCCCCACGAGCTCCAGCCACTGAAAGCTCCAGCACGGGGAAGACAAGGATGCCGTGAGCTCGGGCCTTGGCCCCCTCCCGGCGAGCTCCGACCCGCTGTTGGCCCTCGATCTCCCTGCACAGGTGAGCAGCAAGCTCACCTCCACACACACACACTCACTCACAGCTAGAGGTAGAAGATGAGGTTGAGCACAGAACACACACACAAAGGAAAGTGCTGCTACACTTTCCTGAATGTTGCTGCTGCTGCACGCAAGTGCTGCTGCTGTGAACTGAACTGAGTATTACATTACCAGGGCTGCAATTATATACACAGAGGGGTAGGTTCAGTTTGTGTATGAACTGAAACCAGAGAAGGTGGGCTGCTGAACTACAGTCAAAGTCTACTGTCCTAGCTGCAGGATAAGCCTGCAATATTTATTAGCTAAGGGACACAATGGCCTACCAAAAATCTGTGTCCCCACTACTCCTAGTCAAGTGTTCCCACTACAGCTTGGCTGCTGTTCAACCTTTCAAAGTTGGTCTGCAGTTTCAGATTTCTAGTCACCAAGCTGCAGCCTTGACTGAAGATTGGTCTGCAGCTGCAGACTTCTGTGCAAGACCAGCAGCAAATTATTCAACACCCGCGAGCTCGAGTGCGGGAAGACAACGGCGGACAATGACGCCATCCGCTCAGGGACGGCCCCAGTCGTCTCGTAACCAAACAGCACCAAATCTGGTATAGCCTCATCCCATCCCCCATCGTCCCCCAACCAAACACACTAATTGTGTAACTAAGCTCTGTACAAGGATTAGTTCGTGGTATGCCATGCAATGCTCCCACAAGCAATGTAAATGAAATTCACTGTGATAATGCAAAAAAGCAAAGCAAACATATTATAATGCAAGCATTAGGAAAACTAGTGGTTGATAATGCTGAAGTATGATGCACATAGGACATATGATAAAAAAAAAAGGAATTCAGCAATGTCACTCTGATGTATTGCCAGTTCAAACTAAAACAAATAAAGTAATATCTTACCAAATGAAGAGATTGTTTATGAATACGCTGTAAAGCATGAGTCCAGCGGCGAAGAATTTCAGCTACATCAACAGTTTGTTGAGTACGTCCATTCCTATCATCTGACCTTGAAAGGGCTTCTTCCTTTCCTTGGAATAGCTGAGAAATCTGTTCCTGCTTGTCCAAAATTGGAGAAGTTTCACCAGCTCGAGATGATAGTAACTCAGAATGTGGAACACTTGAACTCATATCCATCGCTGCTAGTAACTGTGATCCTGATATCCGGTATCTAACAGAATACAGAATATTAGAAATGATATAATAAAGATAACACTGTATCGAACTGCAGAGTTCAATGGAAGTTGAGTAGAACACACCTGTGCTCCCGATGTGCTATAAGATCTTCAATTGGTCCAGAAGCTAAAACCTCATGCTGGCCTGCAAGAACGGTAGCAATCAAAATCTGGAATCAAGATTACCACTGGAACTTACAACACTCTATCCAAAGACATCTTTATTTTTCAACGATGATACCCCCTCTGTTTGAAATTAGTAGGCATATTTCATTTCATTAGGACAAGCATTTGTCGAATAATTTCTTTATTAGATTCACATTTAAAAAATAATCATGATTATGGTTCTACATCACATAAGTGACATATTAATAGAATAATTGTTGATCAAAATCTTTGTCCTAATGAAACGAAATATCCTACTAATTTCAAATAGAGGAAGTATAACACTGTAGTTTTACAGTAGCATACGCAAGGAGTGCAATAACTCATGAATAGGAGCCATTTTGTTTTAACAAACCACCTGAATATCCTAAAGTGGAAATTTTTACTGAGTAAATACCAAATGCCACAGTATACCTGCTGTGCCAATTAACTCAAAACTCATTTTTAAGTATGCGATTCATTTAGTCCACATTTGAACAGCATATTCTGGTAATGGTACTTTACTATGTCTACCTTTGCGAGCCAATATTGATTCCCAAAGACGAGTTGCCTTAGAAACCAAATGAGAGTTCTGCCCAGATGAGCCTGACAGCCGTTCATCCCAGAGTTCGCCTTCAAGTTTTGTTTTGTTTCTCATATCTTGTAGTTTCTCTAACTCTTGCTGCAAATAAGCCTAAAAAATCCAAATGGAGACAATAAGACTAAGAAAAAATGGATAAGTGTGCAGCACATATCTTAAATAGACTCTATGGAAGTTATCGTGTACCTCTTCAGCACATAGACTTCGGAACTCAGCTGTCATCTCATGGGCCAAATTTGACCATGTCGTTTGCCTCTGAACAGCTATGTTTGCATTTTTAAGAAATTTACGCCTCTCCAGAGCTATTCTTGCCTGTTAGGAATACCCCGTCAATTCACAAGAAAAATATCAAACATAGAATTCATTAATTCAAACATGAAACACGAACTAGTATACAAAATCGCTTGGAGAAGCGTAAATCAAAACTATTTGTGCCACTTCTGAAACATCAAAATTCAAAATCATAGCTGAATTCATTATTACAGATAGAAGGCAAAACCTCAACCATAACAAATGGTTAAATTGGCCGACCCCTCTTAGGTCACTATAATAAGCATACGAATAAGCAATTTTTATTTCAATTATGATGACATGCAAAGCCATAGCTTCATGTAATTATTCACCACACATGCTTTCTCCTCAGTTACTAACCATACATAAAAATTTCCCAAAATTTAACCTCACAGGGCTAAAATGCTTCATAGACGCTACCTCCTTTTCCAAGTGTTTGCCTGTACACAAACCTGAGGCTCAAAATGTAAGGATTGATCTATCTAATAAGTAGAATTTTGACATAATTCCATCAAATATATATCAAATACTACGTCACTTAGGTATGTGGACAGCTCAATTTACAAAAAAGAGGAAGTAATATTTTTAGAATTGGAGCTCTCTTTACAAATGATCAGCCTTTTAAAACAAGTCGTCAAAATGATTAAAAAAACAATATCAACAGTTCAAAAGATTCAGGAATCAGACATTCTTGCCTTGGTTACTGGGAGTAAAGAAGCAGCATGAAGATAAGAAACATCTGTTAGTGCTGCAGGTAGTGGATTTGATGCAACATCAGCTGCAAATGTTCTCCTGTGGACTTCTCTCAGGGCATGTACAGAGAGTTGCCACAAAAGCTCAACAAATCTGCGTCAATGTAGGGAATGCAAAAATTATGGTTAAAATCTGAAAGCATGCCAAGTAATTTGATCTCCAAGAACAAAATGTACTTTTCTCTTCGCAGATATCTGTTGGACAGCTTTTTTTCTAAAAGTAAGAACTGCACAGTTCATCACTTGCAGTCACTTCATACTGTAAATATTTGCCACATGATCTCTACATTCATCATTGGGAAACAAATTTTTTTTAAGCCACATCCAGTTTCCCAAGCATGACTGAACCAAATCCAAGCTGCAGTATGCCAGCACCCACCATAAAAAGGCCACGGATATTTTATAGCTAGCTAACAAGTATTTAGAGCACCCAAACCCCCCATCACACCATGACAAAATACAATGCAAGCACACTAGGCTCAATTTTGCATTGCGATTATTCCAAAAATGTCTAGGAGCACATAGAAAATATAAATGATATCTACATTGGTTGTGTAGACATTATATCATTATATTCATTGCACAATATATTTAAAAAACTAATATGTACCTTTTCCCTAACACATTCATATAAAAAGTGTTTTCAAAGTTGCATGCAGGAAAGCATGCCCAGATCCAAAACCTCATAGATCCTTAAAGAGTCACTGAAGGTCATAACAGAAATCCTTTTACAAAATTGTTGAAATTCTCTCAAATACATTACTCCATGAAGCAGAGCACAGAAATGCTAGCTCAGGAGTTCACCATGTTGTGTCAAAAGGAGGGATAACCACAGTTGTTAAAATATGCTTGGATTTATGGGTGAGGTCAGTAAGGGGTACAAAAACTCTTCTCTCAGAAGGGAGTCAATTATCCGCCACTGCATTTTTAGCACTAAAAGGTTTACCATCCCATCTGTAAATCTGTTATACTTGATCTTATACCACCACCCACCAGTATTGTGTAATTTTGATATTGAGTTGGCCATTTTGCCTGTCCCATTTATTCCTCCTCTTAACTCTACTTCTTCAAACAAGCCATTGTGACAACAAGGGGTTACAGCAAGCATGGCCTGTGATCAATTATAACAGGATGAACAGAAAATATGGAAGCTGCTTACATATGAGGCCTATATAACTCTTCTTTTGGGTGTCCACTTAGTGTTTCTCTTGGTGCGATCTTTATGTGTTTGTACCTTAGCCCTCAGGTGAGTCAAGGGCACATAGTGTATTGGCCTAATGGCATTTTGACTGGATTGTTTGGGATAATTTGTCTGATGTCAGGTGAACAAGCATAGAAAAAAAAATTACTATTAGTTGAGTGCAAATCCATGCTATTAAGCATCAGCAATCTATATATGCTATTGTAGAGAAGAACTACTGAGCATTAGCATTCACTATTTATCTTGAAACCAGCACCACATGACATTTGGTTGAAACCAGCACCACATGACATCTGGTTGAGACAATGCACTTGGATAGAACAACCTATGTCACATCTGCTCTAGTTTCAGAAAACTCTAATTTCAAAATCATCTGTGCGTTCCAAGGATCCAATGAAGCTACGTTGTAGTAGATCCCAACCAACCAAAACAAATGACAACCAGCCTAGTCCAGTGGTCCACTGACCTCGGTCCGCAGCATGTGGCAAGCGACGAGACCCTAGAATTGCTCCGAGGCAGTGCCCCCTGCTGCTCCAGCTCGCTGATGATCCCTTGAACGATCTAAGTAACCAATCACCAGCAAAAGGCCAACCAACGTCAAAACACCACACCCTATAAACCAAAGAAATGTGAAACAAACTGCACAAATCTCACCTTTCTGAACTCCCTGGACTGGGCGGAGTCGAAGATTGGCCAGACCTTGTCAAAATCCTGTGTTGAATGCCAACCGAACCAAATAAAAGATCAGGAAAGCCCTAAAAATTCCGCAAACACAAGGGAACCAGAAATTGGAGAAGAGCCAGCGGATTGCCTTCGCGGACTGCGCGGGGCCGCGGAGCGAGGAGAGGAGGAAGTAGAGGAGCTGCTCGCCAAGGCGGGGGTTGGAGTGACGGAAGAGGCCGACGCGGCCGGCGGGGGAGGAGGGGGAGCCAAGGACGGCGGGATCGAGGCCGAGGAGTAGGCAGTTAGTGTACATGGCGCTCTCCAGCTCCGCCTCGCGCTCCTTCTCCCGATCCGTCGCCATGGCTGCGCTTGCTCTCCACGGGATGAGTGGGGGGCTGGGGCGTGCGGGTGGGTAGAGCGGCTAGGTTTACCGGGAGGAGGGCGCCATTGGAGGCAGTGCAGCGAGATCTCGCGGAGGTGGGGAGAGGGAGAAGGAAAAAGGGCAGCCGACGGGCGAGCGGCCAGGCCCGGTCGAGTCCACATAAGAACATGTCCAACGCATCGGCCAAATTGTTTTAATTTAGCTATTATTAAAAAAAAAATCCAACACAAATTTAATAGCCTACCTCGCTAGCCAAATTTTATTGAGTCTGTTGAAATACTCTAAAATTGTTTTATCAAATCTTTTCTCAACTAAAACATACTTGTCAATATTTACTCGGCAGCACCAAAACAACCCTGCGATCAACCTCCCCGCAAAGAAAAAATCCCGCCCGTGCATGGAATCTCTAGCAGAAAATCACGCACCAAAACATTACGTTTCTTTCTAAAAAAACATTATGGAATCGCTAGCAGCCGCACCCCCTTCACGCCTCTCGCGTCCTCCTTCCACGTGGCGCTTGACGGACATAGTCCCCGAATACCCCGCAAGGAAAGGCAAAGACCTAGTCTAACTATGACTCTCCGTATGTAATTCTAGTAGTATTGCTACCTTGTAATCCTACTATAACTCCTCTATTGTAACCGACTAGGAAACCATAGGCTACATAAAAGGAGGGCAGGGCTCCCTAGATCGGCACCTAAGACAACAGACTCAACAGTCTGAACCCGAAGCGCATGGCGCGGTATACTATCCACCCCAAACTGGATGTAGGGTATTACGCTATACAGCGGCCTAGACCAGTATAAATCATTGTCTCTGCGTTCAACATCGAGTTCTGCATACGCCGAAACCCCCCGAACGATCGTCCCAGGTAACCTTGTGACGAGTTGTCGGTCAATAAACACCGACAACGCTTTGTGGTGATCTTCCCTTGATGGTTGCATGCGGGCATGCGACGACTATCTCCCCAAACCGACCTTCTCAGTGGGTATAAATAGAGGGGATGAAAGGTCCTTATTTGGTTTTGATAATAGAGTGACAATCTAGGTGGACTAATTGTGTTTATGTGAGATACACAAGTTATTAGTCCACAGGTACATGTGTGTGAGCAACATATACCATAGAGGTGGAGATGACTCGAAGATGTTGCAAAGCTCACATTAAACAAATGTTATGATGAAAGAGCTCATTGCACATGAGACATGACATTGAGTCATGTGATCAAGGTGGAGAAGATCAAGACATGACTTGGCTCGACGGACCGATTGCAAGTGTGAAGGGCAAGTTGAGTGATGACTTGGCGCCGATGGACTGAAGCAATGGTGAAGAGCAATTGAAGTTAAGATCGATGAACCAATACGATGACGTGATGATATGAAGTAGATCATATCATTGTTGATCATGTTGGTGCATGTGTTGCATCGACATTGGAGAAGATGGAATGGAATGCGCAAGGCAAAGGTATAACCTAGGGCATTTTATTTCACCAGTCATAGGCGTGTAGAGAAGTTGATGACCGGATTTAGGATAGATGTCCGTACTATTAAGAGGAGCAAACTTGTTTGCATATCGGTCATCTAGTGCCATTTGAGCGATCTAACTTTGCATACGAGTTAGGATCGAGTGGCGTGGTGAATTGAGTGCTAATCCTTTAGAAAAATGTTTGTGAAAAGCTAACACACGTGCACAAGGTGGTGATCACTTGGTGGTGTTAGCATATTTACAAAGGTGAAGAAGTTAGTGAAGAAAAGGAGGCGAAACCGGGCTTGGAGTGGTGCCCTAGGGGCACCGCCACCCCTGTGGCAGTGCCCGACTGGCCGAGGCCGAGAGCAGCGTGTTGGGGGCTGGCACCACCGTGCCTTGTCCGGTGGCACCGCCACCCCTAGGGCGGTGCCCACCTAGACTTGCCAGAGTGTAGCTAGAGTCAGGGTGGTCACTGGATGTGATGGTGTACACCTCCATGGCATGGACGGTGCACTGCCGGGTGCTATCTGGTGCCACCGCCATGTTTTTCCCGAGGCTGGCGTTTTCAGTGTTGAGCTAAGGGGGTCACCGCCATGGGCACCACCGCCCTATGTCCGATGCGCCGCCCTATTAATCTCGAGAGGGAGGAAAACAGGCACGAGCACCATCGGGGGCACCGCCACCCTTAGGCGGTGCACCGCCCCTGTCTGTCCAGTGCTAGGTCTGCAACAGCTAGTTGAAATAGCCGTTAGAATTCGACCGTTTGGAGGGGCACCACCGTGTCCGGTGCCCTCGTAGAAACCAGCAGCTTTGCTCCAACGGCTCTATTTCGTGTGGGGGCTTATAAATACCCCCTTGGTCGATCTTGGGCTAGTTGCTAAGCACCCTTAAGCCTTGGTGGCTTATGTAGGTGTGCTTGGGAGACCTCTAACTCATTTGTGCTTGGAAGAGTGTGATCCGATTGTGAGTGAGTGTGATTTTAGTGCGTTACATCCTTAGGTTGCATCGAGTGGCACTAGGTGATCGAGTTGCAAGTCGGTGGTGCTTGTTACTCTTGGAGGTTGCCACCTCCTAGATGGCTTGGTGGCTTGTGACTCCGTTGAAGCACGTGAGAAGATTGTGCTATGCTCTGCAGGAGGATTTATGAGGGGGATTGTGCTCACCCCGCAGGGATCACGATGAGCAACTCTAGTTGAACGTGTCATTGAGCTACCCTCACTTGGCTTGTGAGGTTCTTGCGGTGTCCAACGCGTGGACAAGGTTAGTGCAACACCTCTTAGCCGCCGAACCACCAAGTGAGCGGTCGACACAACGGGGACGTAGCTTGGTGGCAACCAAGTGAACCTTGGGAGAAAATCATCATGTCAACCTTATCTTTTCGTTGGTTTGCATCCCCATTACACAAGCTTATATTTACTTTCACATACATTGTGCTTGTGTAGTTGCTCTTGTAATTAGTTGGCTTGTGTAGCTTGCTAGTTACCTTTTTGCTTGTGTAGCATAGAAGTAGCTCCCTTGCGTGACTAATTCGGTTTGAGTAACCTTGTTAGTCACATTACTTAGTTTGTGTAGCTAAGTAATTTGTGCTCTCTAATTTGGCATTAGTTGCCTTATTATTAAGCATTGCTAGTGAGCTAAGAAGCTTTGTGCTTTTGCTATTAGCATGTGTAGGGGCTCCCCGGTGCTTGAAGTACTAGTGGCATAGGTTTGTGTGACTTTGCTCCTAGAATTAGTTAGGTGAGCTCTAGCTAGCCCAGCACCTTTGTTGCCTAATTAGGATCTTTATAAGGTGCTTGAAAACTTAGATAGAGGGGTGTAGTCTTGGCTAGATCGATAGTTTTAATTCCGCATTTGTTTCGGTTAGCCGACGCGATTAATTTTAGAAAGGACTATTTACCCCCCTCTAGTCCGCCATCTTGACCCTATAGGAGAGATCTCCTCTCACACAACACCTCAAGGAGCAAGAGCAATACCAAGAGCACCATTCCAAGGTTTAGGCCACAGCTGTCTAGAGTTGTGTAGTCGAGAAAGATGTGAGGGAGAGTTCGAGGAAGTGCTAGACTTGTTGGTGTCTCCCCGCTTTGTACCTCAACGAACACCTGTGCTATACTTCATCGGGTTTTCCCACTAAGTGAGTGTTCGTAATTCTTTTGGTATAAAAGTCTTTTGATTATTTAAGCTTTACTCTTACTTGTTTGCGGGTTTGTCGTTCGTCCTTGTGATGGATACTCTAGTATGAGGACTCTTGATAAAGGCGGAAGTTCCTGGCCAACGCTAGAGTAGTAACCGATAGTATAGACGTGGTGTCTAAGCTAGAAGTTATCTTCATTTGCCTCATTCCCCACGGTTAAGGGGTAGGCGGCAGGTGGTGACAGCCCTGTCCGTCCCTTCTACTCTCCCACGTTCGTGTTCAGCGTAGAGCTATAGGCTGGAGGTACTTGGTAGATCAAGTATAAGCCGGTGCCCGAAGTAAGCAAGTAATAGTAGAGTTTATCTATCCTTAGACCCAAAAAACAATAGGGATCCATCTCAACCTCTACCGACTCTACCCTTGTATTGTCCTTGGATGAACTAGCTAGAAGAGTACCTCCGTTCCATGTGAAAAATACGATACCCTGAATATATTTATGTTACTACTTATTCACATGAGGAGTTAAAATTGGCTCATGAGAAACTTAGTGTTGCTCATGATAACTTGATATAAGACCATGCTTTTCTCACTAAGGAACTTTCCAATGAAAAGACTAAAACTAGTGAGAGCTCATCTCTTGGGTCAAATGATCAATCACATAATGTTGCTAACCCATGTGATGTAGGCAAGAAGCATGTATCCACCTCTTGTGATGATTTATTAGATATGCCATGTTCTTCACATATAGATGCTTATTCTTCTTCTATGTCTTGCGAGACTAACCTTTTGAAGGAGAACAATGAGCTACAAAAGAAAATGAAGAATTTGAGCAACAAGCTAGAGAGGTGCTATAACTCAAAAGTCACCTTTGAACATTTGATGAAGACTCAAAGAAACTTCGGTGACAAGAGTGGCCTTGGCTTCAAGAAGAAGATGACAAAGGGCGAATGAAAAAGAGAAAAGAAGATGAAGAAGGAAGCACGTGAGAAGCTTTTCTCATTCCATGTGCTATCGATGCCATGAAGTAGGTCATCTTCATGATCAATGCCCTAACATTGAGAAGCTCAAGAAGATGAAGGAAGAATAGAGGCTCAAGCATGTCAAGTGCTTCAAGTGCCGCACTTGGGGTCACCTCACCTCAATGTGCCCAACCAAGCAATTAGTGAAGCAACAAGTAGAGCATCAACCAAAGCCACAAGTTGAGCAAGAGAAGACACCCCAAGAGCAAGTCAATATCAACCATGATGGTGGTGACTTGATGATGAAGAAGAGAACAAGAAGAGGTGGAAGAGCAAGGCATCCAATGCTTATTCAAGATGCCAAGATGATGAGCAAGAATCAAAAAGAGAAGAGAGATTTAGCTCACATCAAGTGCCATGCATGT